GGACACGGGTGAGCATAGCTGCTAAATAATAAGTGTATAGATCCAGACATGCCAGTCTGCCCTGCATCCAAGTCCTACATAGTAACTTTCTACCAAAAGGGGCCGGGTGGGATTGCCATAGAAAAGTTGAGACAAAGTCAAACTGTAGAATGAAAGTTCTTGGGATCCAGACGGGGGAGTGTCGTAAAAAATATAATAACCCTGGGGGAATTTTCATTTGGAATATATTAATGAGTCCAAAGGGAGATGGAGGTAAATGGGCCCAAGCTTTTAGCTTCTGTTTACACCTCTGCAATGCTGTCTGACGGCTATATAAAAAAAAAAAACATTGCTGGCAATTAAAAAAAAAAGTGAAAAAAAACGGTGTTGCAGTCCCCCCCCATCTATACTTGAGTCTGGTATGAATTTTAAGGGGAACCCCACACCAAATTTTTTTTTTTTTAAAAAGCATTCCTCCCCCCTGAACCATACCATGCCGTATGTCCTCAACATGGGGGATGCAAGGGGGTTCCCCCCAAAGCACCTTGTCCCCATGTTGATGAGGACAAGGGCCTCTCTCCACAACCCTGGCCGGTGGTTGTGGGGGTCTGCAGGCAGGGGCTTATCGGAATCTGTAAGTCCCCTTTTACGCATTCACAAAAAAAGTGTAAAAAGTATATAAAAACACAACACAAGTTTTTGACAAGTCATTTATTAGATTAAAAAAAAAGTCCCCCCAAGTGTAGATCCATCGTCAATCACGTGCCTGCCGCCACTGCCGACCCCGAAAAAGGGAAACCCCCCCCCCCATCTGGTCCCAACAAAGGCTCCCACCATCCTGTAGCTCTGCCGTCTGACAGCTCTTAAATAACGAAAGGGCGGGGCCATCTGGTGACTTCATCTGGAGATCCCGCCCCATTGTGACATCACCGACACGTGATTTCCGTTAATGCATTCCTTGCAGTGAGGTAAACAAAGTTTTCTATTTCTCAGTCATCTCCCTTCCTTGTGTGAAGGGTTAGAGAGGGGAGAGTAGATTCAGCACTGTGCACTGCTGCATCTCTTTTCCCCTCTCCTCCTCTTCACACAGGGATTTGAACAGCAGCAGAAGCCATTAACTTCTGCTGCTGTCAATCACGTGCAGTAAGGAGGAAGTGGGGGTAGGACTAAGTACCGCTGTGTGTGTGTCTATGGAGCACTGCTGCATAGACGCATAGCTAATAGCTAGCTATGGGGACACATGAAGAAGAGCCAAGATCGCCGCCAGGAGACCCAAGAAGAGGAAGATCAGGGAAACTTTGTGCAATACCACTGCACAGAGCAGGTGAGTATAACATGTTTATTTATTTTAATAAACAAAAAAAAATTTAGTAACTCTTTAATACAAGTATATGGTGCAACATACACATATGAGGAACATGAAATGTTTGGGTAACATATATTTTAACCCTAACAGTCAAAATCCTTACCAATGCAAAAAAAATGTGCTTATGTACAATAACAGAAGTATTTATAATAACTATAAGGTGCTGCTAGTGTCATTAAATTAAGACATAATTACCCCATACCATCCACAAGCAGGGTAGACCTGGGAACTAATGTAGTGAACAAATCCTAAGGTGAGGATACCACCATAGAGAAACCTTTGGGAGAGGATTATCATTTTGATTGAAGTGTGACCATCATCTTATCTATGTCTGGGACTGTTACATAGATTGGCTCACATTTATCCTTTGGACATCGTGGGGTTGATTTACTAAAACTGAAGAGCTCAAAATCGGGTACAGCTCTGCACTGAAACCAGTAAATGTCCAGGTTTTTTGTCAAAGCTTAATTGAACAAGCTTAACCCCCCTGGCGGTATTCCCGAGTGTAGCTCGGAGTAAAGTTTCAGTATCACAAGTGATAACCCCGAGCTACACTCGGGCTTACCATGCGGCGCTGCTCCGGGATCCCTCGATCTGTTACCTTGTCCTGCGCTCCCGCGATGTCCCTCCTGCAGTGTCCCCGGCAATGTCCTCCGGCGGATGCCGGCATTTGTTATCTGGGTTCCGTCCCCTGCAAGCGTCAGGATGTACGGGGGACGGAAAGGCGGGAAATTTGAAAATGACAAAAAATGACATTCACTAAATACACTAAAATCGCATAGCAAAACATTACTGTATCAAACCATTTCACATACATTTTGTCCCCAGTGCTTTGTCCTGTGCCCTGCCTGCATTTTTACTGTTCTTTCTGCCTGGAAACTGAGAAATGTCCATGGCGTCCAAAAAACGTCCCTTTAGGTCAAAAGCAGTTTTAGACCAGCTAGAGAACAGCGATAGTAAATCAGAACCACTTTCAGAACTGAGTGATAATGATCCGTGGGCAAATTCGTCATCAGACACTGAAAACGATTTTGCGACTTTGCTCAGTGATGTGCAAAGTTGGCGCTCAATTTCAAATTTCAGTGTTTTTGGTTTGATTATATTATTGAATTAAATTTATTATTATTATATTATTATTTTTTTATGATTTATTAAATTATAATTTATGATTTCGTGTTTCAAATTGTAACATACCCGGGATGTTTACTAGACTCTTGTTCGGACAGATTTCAGTGAGTTATTCCTAACAACTACAGGCCTACAATAAAAAAATACATATTTCCATGCAAAAAAATGTACCGCTTTCAGCACAGAAATATGGACATAATCAGACCGCTAGGGAGGTTAAAGTGTTACTAAACACAGGACCCTGAATTCACTCTATCTGGTCTCCCACAGTACACACTGCATGGAAATGCAATTATTTTAGTAAATATAAACTGCTAAATACCTTTGCTTATCAGCAGTTAGAGCAGTCTTGTGACTTCTATCAGTGTTCAGCAGAGCACTGGTTAAAGTGCTTGTAGGGGGAGTTTTCTTTCTGCTCTAGGAGGATGCAGAACCCCTGACCTCTGTCTGGACATTGCTGATTGGACCTGTGCTGATCACATGCATTCTCCCAAGAAAAAAAAAAAAAAAACCTCTCTAGCAATACACACCAAACTGAGCATGTGCAGAGTGATTCCACACCATATGTCTTATCAGGAAATAAGAGTAACACTAGAAGAAGGGGAGGATCAGAGAAGTCAGGATCAAACCGTCTTATTACACAATGCAGAGGATTAACCCCTTAGGTTCCACAGTGAGTATAACCTGCATGCTTTACTGCATATACAGACTGCGTATACTGTTGTGGGTTTAGTAACACTTTAAGTTAGAAGCTAATTGGCTACCATGCTCAGCTGCACCAGTTTTTGCACACTCTAGTTTTAATACTTCAACCTCCGTGGATTTTGTTTATATTATTTTCTTTTGCAACTGTAGCACTTTGGGATCTTGGGACACTGGACTTTTTGTCAATTCAGCACTTTGATAGGTGAAATATACAACACCACAGACTATGCTAATGTTACCGTATTAAGAATCTGGTTTTTGACATTTAATGTACTTTAATTTAATGACACAAATTGTTATGAGGTTACTAGCAGCACCTTATACTTATGTTTTTGTACTGTATATACAGTAAGCATCACTTTGATTGCATTGGGATAGATTTTGACTTTTAGGGTTAAAGCGGAGCTCCACCCAAAAGGGGAATTTCCTCTTTAAACCTTTGTCGCCCACCCCCCATTAAGGATTGGCACCTTTGGGGAGCGGGTACCCGAATTTGACAGGTACCCGCATTTTACAGGTACCCGCTCCCACTTCCTCTGCGATCGCTTATGCGATCGGAAGCAGAAGTTGTCCACGTGACAGGTCCCAGAAGACTACGGGGCCATTCACAAAGTGCAGCGCTTCTCGCACATGCGCAGTGGGCTCCTGGCTGTGAAGCTGTCACACTGAAGATGCCGGCGCCAGGGAAAAAAGACGGCCGGTGAAAACAGCGGACATGAGGACTGCTGGACCGAGGGACAGGTAAGTGGCTGTATTTTACAAGTCAGCAGCTACAGTTTTTGTAGCTGCTGACTTTTATTTTATTTTTTTTCAGGTGGAACTCCACTTTACTGTATTGAATATTACAGAAATAGCACTGTAGATATATATTTTTTTCATTTTTCAATATATTTTAGATGCAGCTGCAGCAGGTGTTTAGGGTTAGTTTATAAGGTTAGAATTTTTCATTATAATTGTTACATACATTTAGCTTCTGCGTAATTTTGCCATGTTAACCATATAATTGTTCCGATTGGTAAGCCTTATAAATAAGTGACTGACACAGTTCATGCTGGCCCTAACAACCAAGAATGGCAGCTCTGGTATCAGTAACAAATCCATCTCTTCTCTAGTGGCATTGGTAAACAGCAGGGGGTACATCTATTCAACCACGTGGCTTAAAAATGAATGGGAAGATTTGAAGAGGACCAAGTGCAATATACACTTGATCCCCTGTGGAGGATGATGTCATGGCTTTTTTTTTTTTCCCGTGCTTGAGATTTCAGTGCAGCAGTGCACCCTTGGTTAGGGTTTATATACACTTGAGTAGAGAGTACAGTTTGCGGTAGATGCTTCTTTGAAAGATAACTCCAATTTCTAGATTCATGTTTAAGGATGGGTTGCACCTGTTTGTCTAAAAGGGTATTATTGTAATAAGAAGAAGACGCAGATAACAGTAATGCTGTGAATTGCCAATGAACTGTTCAACCTTTCACTTTAATTTTGTGCTACAAAAACAATTTAAAATTCTGTGTAAAGTTTAGGCCTCGATGATAGCTAAAGCTAGGTTCATACACTGCCTTTTTTTTTAAAAAAAAAAAAAAAACAATAAAATGAGTGTTATATAGTTAGGAAGTTGGGAAACCAGCACATTACAACCAAAATAGCAAGTTATGTTTTTGTCAGATATGTGTTTTTTGTTCTGCTTAATTTTTTTTTTCAGAGGGATTGCATCTATGTCTTAGTTATTGCCTTTGAATAAGACAGTGGTAGGGCTTTAATAGCTAAAAGTCTTCTAATAAAAAGATGTATGCTTTAACCTTTCCTTGTTTTTAATCTGCAGCACATTCGGAAATTGAAATCTCCTTGTCGGCACGAAACATACGGCGGTTGTTAAGTTTTCAGCGGTACTTAAGGTCCTCTCGATTCTTCCGTGGTGTCACTCCACAGAATTCACTGTACATTTTGGATGATGATTACAATGGACAAGCCAAGGTTTGTATTTTGTAGTGGGGTTTTTTTTTTTCCCTCTTTGTTGCTAAACATGCTATTTAAAAAAAAAAAAAAATGCACAGCTGGCAGGGTGGATTTGATTTAAATCAATTTAAATCACTAGTCAGTAAGGCTTGATTTAAATCAGTTTTCTACATAAAGACTAATTCTTGCTGGTATAACTTTAATATACAAGTAGATGAAGATTTTTAGAATAACAACTTTTCATATTCGTTTTTTTATCCCCAGTTTAAAAGGTTAATCATTCATATTTGGACAACTTTTCTGTTGTACTTTAGGAAGGAGAAAAATAATCATTACCTTAATAATAACAATTTAAATAGATTTATTCAACTGAAACAATAACATTCCAGCATATGTTATTTGCATAAACAAACATCCATGTTTGTTAACTAATTTAGCTAAACAAAATATATATATTTTAAAAAACTTAGACTGTCACCCCCTTCCTCCTCACACTTAGTTTCACTTTCTTCTTGTGCAGATCTATTCCACTCCAAACAATCAGAAAAATATTGTTTCTATTCTATTCACTGAACTTCTTGAAATTTAGCACTGAAGGGGTTGATTCTGTATTCATAGGTTTGTAGAAGTTAGGATTAAGGTCTTTTTCTTAACTCTGTTCATGTTATAACATTTTTGCTGTGAAGAAGAGGCATGTGATCTCCGCTGAGTCAAATTCAGTTTTGAGAACTGCAAAAGTAAACCAAGCATCTGTGATAATATCTTGTAGGCAGAGAAACTGCCCAATAATCTTACAAAAACCTCTGGAAGAGCATGACATTGTGAATGGATTAATGGAATTTATTTACCAAAAAATTAAACATATACAGCCTTATTCTACATAATTAAAAAACTAATCTTTATTTTTTTTTTTTTAAATTATCGATTTTTATCCACCCTACAGCATATATAACCTTACAGGCACATCAAAATTCAATGTTTTTCTAAGCTGCACTGGAAAAGTAAGGCAAGCAGGTGTGAATGGATTTATATTCCTTCCAATTTGTTTTTTTTTTTTTTTTTTTAACCACCTGTGCCCTGAGGCCTTTTTCTCTCTAAAACCCCATTGAGCCCAAGTTCTTTAGCTGCCTTTAAGCTTTTTGAGCTCCAGTGTCCCCAGCCAGAGAATGTGGCTGGGAACACAAGAGGCCTGCATAGCTGGAAGTGTCGGATGTAATGATTCTTTAGACAGCTTTGTGATGCAACAGAATGAAGATAGCACGAATGTATGCCCTAACAGGTACGTATTACAAGGTCTATTTGTGTACAAACATTTTTTGTTTTTTCTGTTTACTTTTTTTAGCATCAGGGATGTTTTCACAAATAATCAGATTTGAGTTTTCTTGTGTTCGATCAGTGAAAATGAATGCTGCTGAAACGGTATGGATTATTGCAATTGTATTTGTTGTCTTGCTATATAAACTCAGCAGCTCTGCAACAAGCAATCTGTAATTATAATCTGCATGTCATGAAACTACAGCAATAGGTTTTCTCACTTTCAAAGTAATTTTTATTTTTTTTTATCTTTATTCAGTGCATGCTGGAAAAAGTCGGAAACTGGAATTTCGATATATTTCTTTTTGATAGGTTAACGAATGGTAAGAATATATTCATGTTTCTTAATTTAGGATTGTCATTTTTGTTAATTCTTGGACATACCAAGAAAGGCCTGAAAGGGTTTCTGTGGCAAAGCAAAATTCTTGCATGTGAGGTTTACCTGCTTCCATTAGATATTTTCCATTAATGTGTGCTTTGTGACAGAATACTTTAAAGGCATTTGCTCTTTTTAGTACAGTTAGGTCCACATATATAGGGACACAGGCACAATTTTAGTTTTTTTCAGGTATTTACCAAAACATATTCAAGCTATAGGTGTATAATGGATATGGGCTGAAAGTGCACACTCTCAAGTTTAATTTGAGGGTATGTACATCCAAATTGGAGGAAGGGTTTAAGAATTACAGCCATCCCCCCTTTTTCAAGGGACCAAATCTAATTGGACAATTGAATCAAAAGCTGTTTCATGGCCAGGTGTGGGCTACTCCTTCGTTATTTCTTCATCAGTTAAGCAGGTAAAAGGTCTGGAGTTGATTCTAAGTGTGGTATTTGCATTTGAAATCTATTGCTGTGAACCTTCATCATACGTTTAAAGGAGCTGTCCATGCAAGTGAAACAGGCCATTGTAAGGCTTCAAAAATTAAACAAATCCATCAGAGAGATAGCAGCAACATTAGGAGTGGCCAAATCAACAGTTTGGTACGTTCTGAGGAAAGAACGCACTGGTGAGCTCAGCAACATAAAAAGGCATGGACGTCCACGGAATACAACAGTGGTGGATGATCGCAGGATCCTCTCTATGGTAAAGAAAAATCCATTCACAACATCCAGACAAGTGAAGGCCACTCTCCAGGAGGTGGGCGTATCATTGTCAAAGTCTACAATCAAGATTAGACTTTGCCAAAAAACATCTAAAAAAAAAGCCAGACCAGTTCAGGAAAAGCATTCTTTGAACAGATGAAACTAAGATTAATCTGTACCAGAATGACGGGAAAAAAAAGTGCTTGGAACAGCTCATGCTGATCCAAAGCACACAACGTCATCTGTAAAACATGGTGGAGGCAGTGTGATGGCATGGGCATGCATGGCTTCCAGTGACTCTGGGTCATTGGTGTTTATTGATGATGTGACAGAAGACAGAAGTAGCCAGGTTAATTCTGCAGTGTTTAGAGATATACTGTCAGCCCAGATTCAGCTAAATGCAGCAAAGTTGACTGGATGGCACATCACAGTACAGATGGATCCAAAACACACTGCAAAAGCAACCCAGGAGCTTTTGAAGGAAAAAAAGTGGAATATTTTGCAATGGCCGGGTCAATCACCTGCTCTCAACCCAGTTGAGCATTCATTTCACTTGCTGAAGGCAAAAAGACCCACGAAGAAAGAACAACTGAAGACAGCTGCAATTAGAGCCTGGCAAAACATCAGAAAGGAGGTAACCCAGTCTTTGGTAATGACCATGGGCTCCAGACTTCAGGCAGTCATTGCCAGTAAAGGATTCTCAACAAGGTCCAAGGAGCAGGGCCCTCCTATCCCTCTTGTATTGAACTGTATTGTTGCTGTATTGTCTCCCTTTCTATTGTAAAGCGCTGAGCAAACTGTTGGCGCTATATAAATCCTGTTTAATAATAATAATAATAACAAAATATTAAAAATGAACATTTTATTTATAATTATATTCATTTGTCCAATTACTTTTGGTCCCTTGAAAAAAGGAGGATGGCTACTCTTAAGAGCTGTAATTCCTAAACCCTTCCTCCAATTTGGATGTACATACCCTCAAATTAAACCTGAGAGTGTGCAGTTTAAGCCCATATACATTATATAACTATAGCTTGAATATGCTTTGGTAAATACTTGAAAAAATCTAAAATTGTACCTGTGTCCAAATATATATGGACCTAACTGTACATGCCAAATGATTAAGGCAATGCTGCCTTAAATGAATGAAGTTTGAATGTTTTGGTAAATACCTGAAAAAAAAAACTGCGTCCAAATATATATGGACCTAACTGTATATACACATGTATATACACATGAACTGACCATTAGATGTAGAGTAAATGGCCGTTATTTCAGCAGAGTAAACTGGTTCCCTTTTCCCCTTATCAGTGACGGAGATATGAGAATTGAGGATGGGAAGGAGGGAGTGTTGTACAAGTTAACAACACCCTAATTGTCCAAATTTTAATATAAATTTACCACCATAAATTGTCTTGTCATTAACTCTTTTGTTAAATGAAATGTGAGGCTGTCATTCCTAATTGTTCTGAAAATGCTTGTTGCCTAGATTACATGGCTTCATCACTTTCTGAGACACTGACCTGTGTATGCAGATAAGGAAATAGAGCCCCTAATTTCCGTTATTGCTCTCTAGCTCAGTGACTCGGTGGTTGCTGAAACCATTTGAATCAGAATGGTGCCGTCTTTTTAGTTATTTACAATGTTCAGAGCTTATTTCTTAAGTGTAAATTAAATTTGGCACGTTAGCTAGATCATGATGTTATGGTGCAACCTTTTACTGAAAAAAAAAATCTAATTTACTTTATAAATACTGATACTGCATAATAATTGGCCATGGACTGCCTATAATCTGGCTGCTTTCTGTTAAAAGATAACCTATCGAGATGGCAATGTAGCAAGGAGCAGCTTTAAATGGTTTTTGAAGATGCATGAATCAGGGCTGTCATCTTTACCTTGGCTTCATTACCTAGTAAATCAGTGACCTGAAACAAACATGTACCTGTCCTGCACCTAATATACACATGCTGGTACCAGGCCAGTGACACATCTTGACAGAAGGATAAGGATGACAATCCTGGAAGCATGCGGAAAAATCAGTTGGCAGTGTGTATTTTTTTTCTGACAGTTTCCTTGTAATGTAATGTTCCAGTGCACCATCAGATATAAAAGTCCTAGCTGTGGACACTGCAAACCAACATTCAGCATGGTCTGACCCTAAATGAATTTAATAAACCAGTTATTTTATCTAGTTCATGAAATATTGATTGTCTAAATGAACTTTTGCTGGTGGTTAGTATTCTCAAAATTGTATTACTTTGAAAAAGACTGGTATGAAAAAAAAAAATATTAGCTTCTACATTTGTGGGATTCTCATAGATTGAGCCCCTCTGTCTCCTGGAAGATATCTCAAGAAATTATTAAGTCTGCTGTCCCTCCAGGCTTGACAATCCCATTTCTATCTAGAGCCCTGCAAGTCTTGTGTAAAGTTATGGGGATTTCAAGGAACCAACTCATGTGTGTATTTGATTTCAGGAAACAGTCTTGTCACCTTAACCTTTCATCTCTTGAATCATCATGGTCTAATCGATCACTTCCACTTAGACATGGTGAAACTGCGGAGATTTTTAGGTAAGACACAAACCTCAAATTCAATATGTATTGGTGCTTTTAATTTTTTGATTAGAGAATCCTTTGTCTTTGTTCATTAAGGTTTTTTGTAGTTTTTACAATTTTAACATTGTTTAAAAGTGTTTTTCACCAGTAAACTGGAAAACATCTTTTTTTGTTCATTTCATAACAGTTAGAGAGTTGCCACTTACAAATCAGCCTTCCGTCTGGCCACTGTACATATATGGTCAGAAAGGAGTAGTGCCAATGTGAGTGGACACACCCCTATGTCCTTCCACATCAGACGCTTGTGTGTACTCTCTAGAGCACATAGCCACACAATCTGTGACCACTGTATCCACAGGACACAGTGAGTCACAGATCATTGTATTGGGCCGCTGTGAGTGGCCCTGGTACCATATGATCACTGTGACCAATCACAATTACAGTAACAAACAAAGTTGTCATTCTTGACACCTTATTTACTACTGTGTGATCTCTGTGGTTGTACCATGTGACCATGTACCATGTAGCTGTGACCAGTCACAGTAATAAACTAAAGCAGGGGTTAAAATTTCGAGTCCAGACCTACTAGCCGGTCACAAAACTTACTCTCTACCAGTTGCCCCACCCAACCTTGCCCAGGTCCACGCCCCCTTAAAGCTTATGAAATTAAATTTTTCTTTAGAATAAAGAGTCCAAAATATAAAACTGTACACAGTAATGTATATCCAAGCTCCCCATTATAGTGATATGACATGTATACAGTAATCATTACTGTATACATGTCATATCACTATAAAGGAGTACAAGGGAGCTGGAACATACATTACTGTATACATGTCATATCACTATAATGGAGTACAGGGGAGCTGGGATATACATTACTGTATACATGTCATATCACTATAATGGAGTACAGGGGAGGTGGGATATACATTACTGTATACTTGTCATATCCCTATAATGGAGTACAGGGGAGGTGGGATATACATTACTGTATACATGTCATATCACTATAATGGAGTACAGGGGAGCTGGGACATACATTACTGTATACATGTCATATCACTATAATGGAGTACAGGGGAGCTGGGACATACATTACTGTATACATGTCATATCACTATAATGGAGTACAGGGGAGCTGGGGTATACATTACTGTATACATGTCATATCACTATAATGGAGTACAGGGGAGGTGGGATATACATTACTGTATACTTGTCATATCACTATAATGGAGTACAGGGGAGCTGGGATATACATTACTGTATACATGTCATATCACTATAATGGAGTACAGGGGAGCTGGGATATACATTACTGTATACATGTCATATCACTATAATGGAGTACAGGGGAGCTGGGACATACATTACTGTATACATGTCATATCACTATAATGGAGTACAGGGAGCTGGGACATACATTACTGTATACATGTCATATCACTATAATGGAGTACAAGGGAGCTGGGATATACATTACTGTATACATGTCATATCACTATAATGGAGTACAAGGGAGCTGGGATATACATTACTGTATACATGTCATATCACTATAATGGAGTACAGGGGAGCTGGGATATACATTACTGAGTAATGTATATCCCATCTCCCATGTACTCCATTATAGTGATATGACATGTTGTATAGAGTACTTACTCCTAGTCCCTCCGAGTCCCCCGCCGCGGTGGAGAGGGTGTCTCCTCTCAGCGGAGCCAAAGAAGCCGGAAACCAGAAGTTGTAAACCAGAACTCGGCTTCACAATGAGGCTTGGAGCGCAAGTGCAGTTGCTCCATGCTTCATCTGTGCTCGCTGCTCGCCGCTTGCCACAGAGGAATTTCTCCTCGCATTTGGCGAGCGGGCGAGCGGCTTTTTCAAGCCCTGAACTAAAGGTTTCATGAATAAAACCTTTTGAACAGTTTTATATATTGCTTATATAGTAAAAAAAAAAAATCCCTGATCACCATTTCCACCAGTCATTGTCCCTAATTACCCCCTCACCAGTCACTGTGTCCCTGATCACTGCACACCACAGTCCCAGTGTTCCTGATCACCGCTACATCCTAGTGTCACCAATAAGGACTTGTTCACATGTGCGATATTTTCTGAAGAGCCATCTGTATTTAGATCGCTCTTCACAGAGCATTGGATAGGCATTGAGGAGGCATTGCATTGCCTCCTTACCATCTGCTTTTAACCCCTTGGACCCTTCACAAGCCCCCCCCCCCCCCCATATTTACTTGAATGGGTCATGATCGGTGGGTGTACAGGGGGTATAATTCCTACCACAGCTGTGTAACAGGGGGTTAGTGGTTGAGGGGTGATAAAACCTGTGCAACTGCAAGGTTTTACCATCCCCCAGCTTCACGTGTAATTGTGCAGCCAGTCACAGTTGTCCCTGATTGTTGCCTGTATTAACCCTCTCCTGTTAATTGACCACATTTCTGCTTGTAGCCTGAACTGATTCTTTGCCTATTTACTGGCCATGTCTCTGTGCCTGAAATGACCCATCTGCATGTCTGACTGACTACATTACTACTAGACACCAGTCCCAGCCATCCTCTGTGAACAACTGTACTCCTGAAACCCTCTTGTTCCTTTCTTTAGCCTCCTGTACTTCCTGGCCATTGAGCATGGCATTCCTGGGGGCAGCCATGTACCAGTAGGCTAGGCTTGCTTGGCTTCAAGGAATTGGGTCTGCTATAGGTGATGCAACACTAAGCTATATTCCCCGACAGCTCGTATAGAGGAGACCATCCAAGTACATTGGTTTTAATACAATTCGTTGATTTGTGTGATGCTCAAGATACAATGTCCAGTATACAATAGGTCCAAAAAGTAAAAAAGTCACACATGTGGTATCGCCACACTCAGGAGGAGTAGCAGAATGTGTTTTGGGGTTTATTTCTGAGTATGCCTATGCAGTGTGTTAGAAATATCCTATTAAATTGACAACTCTGTGTGGGTTTTTTGATGAGACAACTGAAGCTTCTATAATATATACAGTTGTGCTCAAAATTTGGCATATCCTTTGAGAATTGGTAATATACAGTACCATTTTTAACAACTTGCCTACCAGGCACTTATACCCCCTTATTTACCAGGCCAATTTTCAGCTTTCAGCGCTGCCGCACTTTGATTGACAATTGCGCGGTCATGCAACATTGTACCCATATGAAATTTTGATCATTTTTTTCTCACAAGTAGAGCTTTCTTTTGGTGGTATTTAATCGCCACTGGGCGCTTTACTTTTTGCGCTATAAATAAAAAATTGCCAAAAATTTGAAAAAAAAAAAAAGTTTCTTTGTTTCTATTATAAAATTTTTCAAACAGGTAATTTTTCTCCTTCACTGATGTGCGTTGATGAGGCAGCACTGATGGACACTGATAGGCGGCACTGATGGGCACTGATAGGCAGCACTAAAGGGCACTGATAGGCAGTACTAATGAGGTGGCACGGATAGGCGGCACTGATAGACAGCACTAATGAGGTGTCACGGATAGGCGGCACTAATATGCAGCACTGATAGGCGGCACTGATAGGTGACACTGATGATGGGTACTGATAGACGGCACTGACTGGCATCACTGCTGGGCACTGACTGGCGGCACTGACTGGCACAACCGCTGGGCACTGACTGCACTGACTGGCAGCACTGCTGGGCTGCACTGGTGGGCAGCACTGGTGGGTGGGCACAGGTGGGTGGCACTGGTGGGCAAAGGTGGGTGGCACTGGTGGGCACAGGTGGGTGGGCACAGGTGGGTGGCACTGCTGGGCACAGGTAGGTGGCACTTCTGGGCACAGGTGTGTGACATTACAGAGTGGCACAGGTGGGTGCACTGCTGGGCACAGGTGGGTGCACTGCTGGGCACAGGTGGGTGATCTGCTGGGCACAGGTGGGCGGAGCTAGTGGGCGCACTGCTGGGCACAGGTGGGCGGAACTTGCGGGTGGCACTGCTGGGCACCGATCATCAGTGCCCTGATGATCGGTGCCGATCCCCGCTCTGACAACTGCCGGTTCTCGGCAGCACTTTCCTCACGATCTGACAGCGTGAGGAAAGTGCAGCCGAGAACCGGCACTTGCATTTCCCTCTGATCAGCGTGTCATTGGACACCGCTGATCAGGTGGTAAAAGGCCGCTGTGATTGGCCTTTTACCACATCACATGATCAGCTGTGTCCGTAGGACACAGCGATCACGGAGATCGCCGGGTGCGCGCCCCCTGGGGCGTCATATGACGTCCACTCAGAACTGGCCGGCCGCAGTGCAGCCGTCATTCGGCTATCTGCGGTCGGCAACAAGTTAAAAAAAAACGTGAGTGAGCATGCAAAACATGTTTTTATTTCTTATGGGATTCATATTCAATTGTAAGTCATATCAGAATGGCACAATTTATAAAACAAAACATGGCAACAAGTAAAAAAATAAACTAAAAACAAAATATTAACATGCTACCTCACCTGAAATTATGTATCTTCTCACACTATATTCACGTCATATTAAATAAAGATAAAAAGTGAAAAATTTAAAAAACAAACAAAAGCTAAGTGAAATCTTGTTGCTGCCTTCCACTGCAATGTATTCCCACACGAACAAACAATGAAAATAAAAAAAAATTGCAGCACAACAATTCACTAAAATGCATAAATACAAAAATATCATTAATATGATGCCATAAATATAAAGTTAGTGCTCCTAATAAATCTGTGAAAAAATCTATAAAAGTCCACACAATCGTGTTAATGTGACTCCATCTTCCACCATTGATTATATGAATAATCCAAGCGATCCACCTCTGTGCACCTCTACCTGACCCTTACCTTCATGCCGTGACCCACCTATTGGGTATGTAAAAGCGGAAATGAATACGTTTGTAGACCACCCACTAAAACCATAAGGGATGAAATACCTGCTATGCAATAGAAAGAAGCTATACCTGTGCTCTAACATAGATGGGTCACGGCGTGGAGGTAACGGTCAGTGGAGGCAGGTGAAGGTGCACAGAGGT